TTTTGTTCCAGTAAGTTGCTAACTCAGGTGCTAGGGAAGCAAGAAAGTTGAAATTTTAAAGGGAATGTTTTCTGACAGTTCTGGTGGCCAGTCTTAATTTGTTTGGCTAGAAACATTTGCCGAAAAAACCGGTGCCGGTAACAACAAAAACTGCGGGGAACCATGCAAAAAACGCATCTTCGCACGGGCAGCCGTGCGTTGGCCAGTTTTTATTTTTGACGTTAGGACGTTTGGAAGTATAACTAATGGCTTTGGTACCTGAGCTTTGCATGTAGAAAGTTGATGAACAATGATACCAGAGATAATCCACTCAACAGATAAACAAAGATTAACAGAAGCACGAAGGTTTTGTCTGTAACTACAAAAAACTCACTTGTTTGTTTTATTTTTTGTCAGTTTGACCGTTAATTTTTTTTATTAATTCAACTTTCCTCTCTTAATTATCATGTTGGAACATTTTTGCTTACTCGAAAGGAAGTAAATTGACATTTTTCTCCGACTCAACTCCTTCCCGCTTTGGAAGTCTTTTTGCCGTGGCTACAAAATTAATTATGGAAGGCGCAAAATATGCAAAATTCACCGCCCGGCTCTACGTCGCCAACGCCAATTGTCGCAAGCGAGTTGAATATGAAGTAAAAGGCAAGTGATGTTTGCGCCGTTGGCAGATATAGATGTACCAGGAAACAACCAAGAGCTGTCCATCCGATCATTGCCATAACGGCAACCATTACTGGTATGCCCAGTAAATGATCCAGCTGCTTAAGTCTGCAAACGATAAATTAATCGCACATATTTCATTAAAGGAGAAATGTTTTCTCGCTTTGCGAACAGTCGATCGATACCGTGTGCTGCTGATAATATCCGTAACAAAAAATGCTGCCATTTCGATCTCGAGAAAGACAGCGTGTATGGTAGGGCCGATGTCTATAACAAACTGGGATAGGGTAGAAGCAGGTTGTAGCTGCGTAAGTAGTTTCATCTCGGCAACATTGTGAAAGCATTCGTATTTGCAAATCTTGAACGTGAAGGTGGTATATAAGTTTCCATCATAAAATGTAGTGTTCAACCCTGCAGCTGCAGTAACTGTTGTACCTGTAGTCAGAGCGTGGCGTGGCTTCCTCTCCATGGATCTGGCGAAGTAATTCATTCTCATCAACAGGTTGCAGCGTGCAGTAACGAAATATGTGCCAAAAGTAAGCTGTAAAAGTAACATTCTGTAGTAGTTTTTCATTTTTTCCATTGCTTGAGGTGTTATTGATCTGTGTGTCGTTCTCAGCCAGTTGAGATTTTTTTAGGTCTAGCTGAATTAAATCGTGCATTGCATTGCTTTCCGCGGAAATTCCAAGATTTAAAACATTCCACTCTACTTCGTTTGGTCATTGTCAAGCTAAATGTAGCATCTTCAACTTAAATTTTTCACTTCCAAAAAAGAGTAAACTTTTGATCATTTAGCCTTTCGTTTTTGCTTGGTATTTTTGTCACTTCCTTTGGGTGACATTACTAAACCACAAATTACCATAGAATATAAAACATTTA